CCCAATAAGCACTTCTTAGGAAAAGGTACACCTACCTAGCATTAATAAAGATAAAGACCAATAGCTTATTTAAAAATAGAAGATATTTCAGGGAGATACAATCAATTTCTACTTCTTAGGAATGGATACAAATTAAGCTTGTTTTCCCATTGGGAGAAGTGGAAATGGGTACATTTAATCACTATCCAATCATATTCTTCCAGGGCCAGGTCTAGCAGTCATTCTAAAACTTGAGAGGGCTTATGGAAATGCATAAAATGGATAAAAACAAAAAGATTAAGAAACTGAGGTAAATGAAAAATGGGGATTGAAAATAAGAGGAAGTTGGGCACAGTTAGCAGGAAGGTTCTATATGGTTTTGAAGTGTGGTTATAAATCTAACACGAGTGTTAACAGCAGGCAAAGATGAGCACGGGACCAACGCAGAAAACAGGATCCATACACAGCAGTGTGAGGGATATACTTACCTCTCACCATGGAGGCAAAAATACGGCAAAATGGAAGTTGGGGTCAAAAATAAATAGTGAATATTAAAGAGCTAGTATACTGGTATATTGACTAGGCAGTCTGAAAAAAAAAAAAGGCTCAAACATGGAAATATGGGAGCATAGGATAAAGAAACTGTGAATACCTAGTATTCCCTACATAAGATGATGGCTTAAATTTCTGGGTGCTGATACTTAAATTTGCAAATAGGGCAAGCCTGGAAAATAATAGAAAAATGTACTGACATTTCTGTGTGGTTCTCACCACAGGTGTCTAATAATACTCCTTTGTTTGCCAACAGAGATTAAAAAGGTTTTTGTGATTCGACCACAGTATAAACCATTCTGCAGAACTGTGAAAACATCTGAAGTGGCTCTGGATGTTTGGTCTTAAGTGGTTGTAAGAGTCTGCATGTACAGGGATCTTTGATAACCTGTCTCAGATATCATCTTTTTTAAATGATAAATACTAATATGCCAATGAATATTTTTATCCTCTACAAATTTAATTATCCCAACACTTTATACCAGTAAAACCAACAGAGGAAACAATATACATGAAAATCATTTACTAAATAAAGTTGCATACCAACTGTCAGTGGTCTTAAATAGAACAGTCTTCTAAGGGAAGATACTGGATGGGAATATCAACGAATTGTTAAGCATACAGATTTTGGAGTCAGATAAACCTGGATTTGAATCCTGGTCTTGCATTTATGAAATGTTTGACCTTAGATAAGTTACTGAATTGCTTACACACTTCAGTCTTCTCTTCAGTTAAGGCTAATAAATATTTCTCCCTCTGATGATTAATTTGAGGTCTGTATAAAATGATTTTATTATTATTTTTTTATTATTATTTTTTAAAGATTTTATTTATTCATTTGAGACAGAGAGAACGAGAGAGATAGAGAGCACATGAGAGGGGGGAGGGTCAGAGGGAGAAGCAGGCTCCCGCCGAGCAGGGAGCCCGATGCGGGACTCGATCCCGGGACTCCAGGATCATGACCTGAGCCGAAGGCAGTCGCTTAACCAACTGAGCCACCCAGGCGCCCTAAAATGATTTTTTTTTTAAGATTTTATTTATTTATTTGACAGAGAGAGACACAGCGAGAGAGGGAACACAAGCAGGGGGAGTGGGAGAGGGAGAAGCAGGCCTCCCGCAGAGCAGGGAGCCCGATGCGGGGCTCGATCCCAGGACCCTGGGATCATGACCTGAGCCGAAGGCAGACGCTTCATGACTGAGCCACCCAGGCGCCCTGTATAAAATGATTTTTAAGAAGTGCAAAATGAAACATTCAGATATAGAAAGTGCAAAGTTAAGTCTTAGATATCAGTATCACCATCACTACCTCTGTCATCATATAAATAATCCAGTATTATTTCAGTATCTTCAGGAAGAAATTAGCTTGATTTTTGATATGAATTATAAAATAATGCTAAAGACTGGCAGAAATAGAATAACTTCTTTGGGGGCATATCTTGTTCAAGTTACTAAAGTTTTAAGTAAAATATTAAAATGAAGATATATAGAGAGGGGTGAACAACTGCTTTTCCTTTGTGATCATATACAGCATGTAAGTGGTTTACAGGACCTTGATTAAATCGTAAATATTAATAGTGGGACCTCTTTTTTTCCTTTACATTTGCAAAGAAAAGGCCATTTGTACTGGAAAATGGTTTCTTGGTCACACATGGGTCTCGACCATCAATCTTGGTATGTCATCACTAATGACAGTGGTTTGATGCAGTGCAACAGAGTAAGCTACTTTATTTATTTTTAAAGATTTTATTTATTTATTTGACACAGAGAGACAGTGAGAGAGGGAACACAAGCAGGGGGAGTGGGAGAGGGAGAAGCAGGCTTCCCATGGAGCAGGGAGCCTGACACAGGGCTCGATGCCAGGACCCAGAGATAGGGTCTCTGGACCCAACGCCCACGCAGGTGCCCCAAGAATAACATAGAGTTTTTTTAGTAATTATTAGCCAGTTTACAGTTATAGTCAAGAGGCTTCAAGCATACTTAGGTAAGGACATCTAAAATATGCATTTTATTTAAAAATTTGGATTTTTTCAGTAGTCATATCCTAAAGGCAATGCTGGGAGGTACATCTTGTTCAGCCTGTCCCAAGTCTCATTAGATGTGTGACATTGGATTAGTGTGACACTGGACTGGTGTGACTTCAGGTCATTTTTCTCTGTGTTCCTCATCAGGGAAATGCAAATACTAAGACCAAAGAATCACATAGCACATACTATAGGCCAGGTAATGTTCTAAGAACTTTATGTGTCTTAACTCATTAAGAATCACAACAGCCCTGGGGCGCCTGGATGGCTCAGTCGTTGGGCGTCTGCCTTTGGCTCGGGTCATGGTCCCGGGGTCCTGGGATCGAGCCCCGCATCGGGCTCCCTGCTCGGCGGGAAGCCTGCTTCTCCCTCTCCCACTCCCCCTGCTTGGGTTCCCTCTCTCGCTGTGTCTCTGTCAAATAAATAAAATCTTCGAAAAAAAAAAAAAAAGAATCACAACAGCCCTAAGAGTTGGGCACTTAGGGTACTCAACGTGGCACAGCCAGTGGCTAATGAGATCTGAAGCCAGAATCCCTGTTTCTAGAGTATGTGTTTTTAATTATCATGCATTACTTTTAGAATAAAAAAACCCTGAAAAGTACCTAGTACCATACCAATGGCATGTGCTCTCACCACTAACAAGCCTTTAATAGGTGATTTTTCTCCCAAATAGCCCAAGAATAAAGTTCTATGGAAAATAACCTTATATGATGGTTGCACAAATTGGTACATTTACCAGAAATCATGGAATTGTAAAAAAAAAAAAAAAAAGGTAATAATTTCATAATAAGTGTTTGAAGGTTATGAGAATACACATAAGGTATATAGAATTCAAACATGGATTTGGATTCTATTTTCCCAATTATAAGTGAAATTTAGACTGATTAGATATTTTTCCTTCCCAAAGTTTTAAATGTCTAATCTGATCATTCCTGAACTTGGCCAGAGTTGTCACTAAGCCTGATTCCATTTATATTTCCCTGAAATTGAGGCCTCACCATGGCTTCTGACAGATAGGTATTATAAAATTAATATTTTTAGAGTCTTTGTGTTTTAGGATGACAGCATGTGTATGGGTCTAAATAGAATATTTGAGAACTAAGAATATTCTAAATCGGTGTTTCATGCTGTCTTCTAAAGCATGAGATTAACCAGGGGATGTCCAGAAATCCTTTGCCTATATGCCCTTTAAAATAAAAGCAGCGGTTGACACACCAGTTGTTACATGATACAACTGAACCATCCTCAATTTTACAGTCTATCCCGGTCATTCCTACCTATCCACTCACAATGCATAACATCCTTTTGGTTTCTGAGAAATATTGATAAGCTCTCTTTCACTACTCCCCAGGGAACTATACAGTTGATGACTCAGGAGAGTTGCAAGTGAACCACTTAACACTGAGCCTTTCCCCTGGGAATGTACATTGAATTTATTACCACTATTATGTATTTAGTTTTATTACACTTACCTATTAGCAGAGATTTTGGTTTCTTGAATTTCTAAGTGGATGTATGAAAACAAAGCTTGGTCTTGTGGTTGGCTATAGAAAAAGAGCTTAAAAACTCAGGGATTAAAAGAAGAGGGGCTCTAACTTGCCTCTCATTTTCTTTCTTTCTTTATGCAGGACACATCAACAGTGGCATTTTTATCATTCTGTCTCAGGCATAAATCTTAAAGTAATTCAGTAGTTTAATAAAGAGAAGCAGTTCACTTGGCTTGTGTGAGCTCTAGCTTCTCACCTTAAAAATTTAAAGTGTCTGTTGGCATATTCTGTCAGACACCAGACAAATTCAACTGGTCATCTCATTTTGATTACCTCCCGGATGAGGTGAAGTGGGGATGGTAATACAACATTTCCCTGCCTACCTATTCAAATCAAAAGGAATAGGAGGTCAAAGGGGATTAAAGGTATTAACTGCATGTGCATAAGAGTTTTCAAAAGGATGTTTTACAACATGACTGATGGATCAAGTCAAGTTACATTTTAATAAGTACTTTTGAGGCAAATTACCTCATTTATATAAAAATGCACTAAAATAAAAAGGGACTTGTACGTTTGAACATACAGTAAGAGCGCCACATAAGGCAATAACATTTGCATTTATTCTTCATTATCTGGATATCTGAGCATCAAGAATAGCCATAAACCCGCAACATCACCAATTACCGTGAGCCTACTCTGTGCCGAGCACGACAGCAGGGGCTTTATGTTTGTTACTTCCAATTCTCCCAGCCACATGTGAAAAACAGGTGTGATTCCAACTGCTTAGGGGAGGAAATGGAAGCACTAAGAGGTGAAGTAACTTGCTCAAAGTTCCAAAGCTGGCAAACAGTGCTGCCTTCCCATATGGCATCTCAAGTATGGCTGAGTGTGTGTCTTGGACATGAGACCAAGGGTATTCTATTGTCTGTCTCTCCAATGAGACTCAATTCTCTTCTTCTGCTTCCTCTTCCTCCTCCCCCTCCTCCTTTTTTTTTTTTTTTTAATGTAAACCTGTAAATTGCATAACCCAGAGACTATATAGCCAACCAAACCTAACAATTGGCAGGGAAAAGTCCCCTGATGTTGTACTGTTCCCTAAATACCAAATCTGTTCAATGAATGGTACAGTCCTGCCCCTTTGTAAGATGGTTCATCTCTTTTCCACATTTAAAAACGTTAATTAGTTTTTAAAAATTGAAGCCTAGTTGACACAATGTTACATTAGTGTCAGGTGTACAAAATAGTAATCCAACAACTCTAAACATTATGCTGTGCTCACAAGCGTGGCTACCATTTGTCACCCAACGTTATTATAGTAACACTGACTATACTCTCCATGCTGTGCCTTTTATCCCCGTGACTTATTCATTCCATAACTGGAAGCCTGGTTTCCTCATTGTTAAACAGTAGTTGACCGTGTTTCCAAAGAAGCTGTCTGGTTTGGAAAATTACATTAATCTGAATCTAAAGAAAGAAGCATGCCATTTTTATTAATTTTTTTTAAAGTTTCTCCCTATTTAGATGAAAAAAAAAGTCACTTTGAAAGGCAATTATTAGTCTACTTGAGAAAAAAAAATGTGTTACTCCACCCCGATCTGAGGGCTGTCATTCGTTCATGGCATTATTACCAAGTTGCTCTTTATGCTATTCGCTAAGCACTATAAAAATTCGGCATGTGTGTGATATTCTACTTTATTCACTTGTTAAGTAGCTTATGTCATCTCTGTTTTTGCTGATTCCTTAGACAGCAGGTGCTGGCAAATCTATAACAACTGGCTCTCTGAGATAAGAAAAAGAGCCCGGACTTGGAGCATTTGCGGACTTCTGCGGTGGACGTACTCCCAGCAGGGCTGGTATCAAGGCCAACCTCAAGCATGAGGTCTTGGAATTTGGATATGGGAAGAGATGCACACCACGGGCTCTCAGAGCACAGCTCAAATATATTCCTCTTCTACAAGTGGTTCTCAAATTGTGCTCCCTTGACCAGAGCATCACCTGGGAACTTGTAACAATGAAACTTTGGGGGCTCATCCAAGATCTGAATCAGAAACGAGAGGTGGACCAGTCATCTGTTCTTTAACACACTTTTCGGGTGATTTTGATGCACGTTATTGGAAAACAATAGCTTCTCACCACTGCCTGCAGAGCTGGCCTTGTGAGCAGTATGCAGGTCTGTAAGAAATGTTGGGCTTCTGTCAGATAGAAGAAATAAAATGAGAAAATGTGCACATGCTACTTCAGTTCTGGGAAGAAGGAATAATTACTACATCTTGGGTTCTCTTAAACACACTTAAAGCTGTGTTAAGTACTCTCTCTAGACATAATTCCATGAAATAATGGTTCTCACGTCAATTCATTTAACACACCGACATCTAAAATGAAGCCTTTTAAAAAACAAAAAGAATAAAAAATAAAAAAAACATATAGAACTAACTTAATGTAGAATTATTTTCCCCTAATTTTATCAGATTTCATTTACTAAAATAAACAAAATCCATTTCCATCCATGTTGAAGAGTAACCAGGCAACTGAAAAGACAACCTGATACACAAAATTATTCCCATAAGCAATTTTCCAACAGCACATTAAATAATGCAATTTGGAAAATGAGTTTTCACTAAAGTCAATGTTATATAACATAAAATCATGCCATTAAACTGAACAAATTCTCTGGTGTAAGAATATGTAAAAATACTCCCTTTTAAAATATTAGTGTACTTTTAATAATGTTATGTAAAGCAGAAACACATCAAGATCCGAACATTTAATTCAACCAAACATAATAATTTTTAAGCAATTTATGGGAAGCTGATGGCAACATGTTATTGATGGGTTTCTCCATAACGATGGAGAGGTAATACCTGTCATCAGAGGTCACATTTTAGTAAGTCCTGAGCAAGGTCAGAGGCATTTGAATAAATACCAGAAAACAGTAGGAGCAGAGTTAAGACTTGGAACAAATTTCAAATTGGAGGTAAAGGAAAGAAAAAGAGTAAGAATAACTCCATTGCACTTATGTGCCCAAGAAGATGGTGCTGCCTCTCAATGAAATTAGGAATGTGACAGGGACATGGGTTTGGGTGAAGCAAAGGAAATGAACTCCATTTTGGACATTCCAACTTTATGATCCTAATAGCTAGCATTGTTTAATATTTGGTATGTGTTGTTCTAAATATTTTCTCGTGTATCAAATCATAAAATTCTTACTACAGTCGTACAAAGATGGAAGTATGATTTACTATACCCATTTACCAGGTGAGGCCCAGAGAGCTTATGCAATTTACTCATGGCACGCAGTGAATCGATGGCAGAGCTGAGACCTGAATCAAGGCAGGCTGTCTTTAGAGCATCTGCTCTTTTCTATTCAATTTTTGTTTTTGTTTTTGTTTTAAAGATTTTATTTATTTATTTGACAGAGAGACAGAGAGAGAGCACAAGTAGGCAGAGAGACAGGCAGAGGGGGAGGGAGAAGCAGGCTCTCTGCTGAGCAGGGAACCCGGCACAGGGCTCGATCCCAGGACCCCGGGATCATGACCTGAGCCCAAGGCAGCCGCTCAACCCACTGAGCCACCCAGGCGCCCCTATTCAATTTTCGTTTTGAGTGCTAATGACATTCAAATGGTTCAAAAATCAAAATGATGTAAAGTGGTATTCATATACAAATCTTGCTTCCACCCCACTCCGTCCTCTCTATTCCTAGTTTTTCTTTATGCAAATACATAAAAATAAAAAAATATATATTTATCCACCTTTGACACTGTTTCACCTTTTTTTTCCTTTTCAACTGAGCAATATACCTTGAAAATCTTCCAGTATCTTACATAGAGAACTTCCTCCACCCCCCTCCATCCTCCCTCCCTCCCTCCTTCCCTTTACTTTTTAACAGTACATTCCATTGTGTGGATGTACCATAGTTTATTTAGATAGAAACTTGGGCTGTTTCCTAACTTCTGTTTTTACAAGCAATGCCACAGTGAGTACATGTGCACATATCAATTATCTTCAGGTCCATCTGTAGCATAAATTCCCAGAAGGGGGATTTCATAGGTCAGGGAGTAAATGTATTTGTAATCTGGATAGTTATTTTCAAACGGCGCTCTACAGACATTGTAAACAATCTGTACTTCTCGTGTTATGGTATAAGGCTAGAAGATACACTTTCAAGTCCTCTGCTATACTCCAGAAAGAGATACCAGAAAAATTTTCCTGACTTGCTATAACATAGATGAGAATGAGGACAATGTGAGTGGAGAAATGAGCATGGAGCTGAGTTTGGAATTTCATCCTCAGAGGGACCTAACCAGGTATGTGCTGTATTATTGTTTATAGACAGGATTTCTGAGTCACAGAAAGATTAAGTATCTGCTCCACGTTTATCCACTAGTAATTGGCCAAGTCTAGATCTGAAAACATATCTTAGCCACTATGTTTTTTTACTTGTCAAAGGTTAAATCTCCTAGTGTGTTGAAATAATTTAATTGTTCTCTATAGCTTCTATTTCGAAGAAGCATTTTTTTCTATTCCATAATGGTGTATGAATATATCTATATATTTCTCTCTATATGTAATATGCACATTTTATATACATAATCCATATCAATCAATCATCTCTCTACCTGATCCAAGTAATTGCTACTTTTCTTTTACTTAAAAATAATGTGATGACTTTTCTTGGTTTCTATGCCATAAACCATAAACCAAGATGTCTCCATTAGATGATCTGCAAACAGAGAAGTGGACTTCTGGTTCATAATGAAAAGTGTACCATGTGATATTATTCTTTTTTTGTAAACATCCCATCGTACGCTCTACTGTTTGTTAAGCAAAAATGGTAAGAATATAAACTCAAAACTCAAAATAAGCTCTTTATGGTAACTTCTCATTGTGATATAACCATGTGGGTTTCTACAACTTATCTAGAAACATTTTAAGTATATTTTATGTGAACACTAACTTTAATAAGCCAACCTCAAGAACCTTTACTACGGTTTCAGAGAGTTCTATGCTCTTCCGTTGCATACAATAGAACAAAAAAGAAAAAAAAAAAAAGCACAAAATCAATATTCTGAAACTTTTTGATGGGCTGAAACAAATTGAGGCTACATAAGTTAAGGCCTAGCAATATCTAAAATGTTGGCATTAACTCATCACCATTTGGAGATGAAATTCATATTCCATTTGAAAACCAGTAATTACGTGTTTGTTTCCATGCTCTATATATTCCCAAGTGGGTTAGCTCACCACCAAAAGGACTCACCAATTGGCATCCACTTTCCTGGGACTGTTATAAAGGCTCAGATAGGATGAGAAGGCTTTTGAGAAACATAAGTACATACGTCAATAATGTAGAGGCCAGTTTCTCCAACTTTATGTCCAAGTCAATGCCCCGAAATTTGTTGCCGATCATGTTTGGCCTACAGATGCATTTTGTTCACCACATACGGTATTTAACAAAAATGTCAATCAATACTCAAAGGACGGAATACTTTATATTAAAAAACATCCAGATTTATGCCTTTCCTTCAAAAATAAGTGTTCTGGTAAAGCTGGGGCCCACATTTTCCCATGGCAGCATTCAGGGAGAACTGGGTGGATGCGGTCTGGCCCTGTTTTGACAAAAGTTTGCTTTTAGTTCACTCCAGACACAAAGGCTCCTATTATGTTACCAACCTCAATGTAACTTAAAAAGTTAGATCTTCTCAAGAGTCAAATGATGAGAACATATTCTTCTCTAGCAACTGGCCTGATTAGTTTATTTAAGCTACCTGCCTGAAAAGAAACTGACCGTATATGACTTGGTGACCTTGCTCTAACTGGTGTCAGTTACTTCTACAGGTGGATAAGTAAACTAGGTAACTTGGTGTAAGATGATGGTGAATTGGTGTTGAGATCCAACAGAGGGCTCTGAAGGTTAATCTTATGCCAAAAGCACATTTCCAGCAAAATTTATGTCCCATGAATACCACTCCTTTCATAACTTCAAAGTATCATCAATCTTATTACATTATTAGAAAACTTACAAATTAAATAACATTACTGATCACATACTGTATGTGTCCATTGGCTTCTTCTGTATAATCTCCCTAAGAGCAAGGTCTTTGTTCCTTAAAGCTTGGATCTGTGCCTGGCACATAGTAGGTGCTCAGTAAATATGCGTTGCATGAAAGGTAATGTTAAATGACTCACTGTGCTGGGTATCTTGCAGGTTCTTCTCTAGAGCTACTCTCCACCTGTCTTCACCCTGCTTTGGTTCCTGGGAGGCTCATGAGCAAATTATATTATTGCAATCAGCAGATTCCTTTTTTTCTGGAATCCGATTTGGTCAAAGGGGAGCCCGGGCAGGGCCTTGTCGGGCAGAAGAAGAGTGAGGTTGGATATTTAAAACCCCGGTGCCTTCTCTGAGGACTGACTTCATCCCTTCACTGAAGGTCACAGCGGCTGCCAGGCAGTCGGAGACACAAGTCCTATTCTGAGCATGGATTTCCATAACTGCTGCCCCCACTCACCCCTTCAAGCATGGGGAGGGGAGTAGCTGTATCCCTCGTTACTGGCCCCCTGGTTACTGTACGCTAACAATCTTTATAAGAACTTCCCTTGAGACTCTCTCCTCCATTATCCAACTTGAGCATGACATCTGTTCCTGCCAGGCCCTTAAGTAATACACTTATCATAACGGCTGCTATGGCCCAATTATTCCCTCCGCTCGCCATTACAGAATAACAGAGGAGCCATGGCTTCTCACTGAACCGCTTTTCACCTCTACCAGTAACTGAGAGACCTTCACCTGTAAATGGCAGAAGCCGGGTGTGAGCCGGTGTCATAGCTCGCGCGGACCCGTCCCCGGTACAATTCGACGGCAATATGGTCCTTGTCGCCCTTATACAGGAGAATTCCGCTGTCTTCATCTGTGGCAATCTGGTAGGAAGTAACCCTGATGTTAGCAGGATGCACAGTCACCAAAAAGCAGCCAGACTGCTCAGTGCAGGGTTTTTACTCTTAGCTGATTTTTCCCTTATGCTGTGAGAAAGTAATAATGCAAGGCAGACGGAAATGAGGACTTGAAAGGTGACCTGTTCCTAAGTTATTTTGATGCGATAAGTTCATAAAGAACTAAAAAACAAAACCAGTAACAGATACTTAAGGAAACACCTTGGGACGTACCTAAAACTTTCTCTGCTGGAGGTTTTCATTTACCTGGTCTTTTTGCTCCTATTCGTCACTGTGAGGGCATGAACAGGGGAAAATCTCTGTTTTTCTCCGGCTTTTTGGCCTTTTTGGGCTTTTAAAGGACCAATTTGTTAAAAATTGGGACTTACACCTGAACCCCGCTAGGTACTTCTTGTAACAATCTGGTGAGGCAAATGTTGGAAGGGAGGGAGACAGGCTTTTTAAAGAAAGCCTACCTGTCTTCCTGAGTCCCATTCCTCATGACACTGGGGTGTCAGGGTAAACCAAATAAGGGGTGGCATCTATAGGAAATCTGCTAAAGTCATTTGAATTCAAAATACATTAAAATATTTTTCTTACCAGATTAAAAAGAAAAAAAAACATGCAGCCCCAATATGCCCCATGTGTCCTGAATTCATAACTCCTCATCTAGTCTCACCTCCTCGGCACGGGTCTGACTAACTTGCTCAAAGGGACAGGTGACTTGGTGAAAAGTCTTAAAATAACATTTGAGTTTGTTCAATTCATGTCACTTTTTTTTTTTTAAGATTTTTTATTTGAGAGAGAAAGAGAGTGAGCGAGAGAACCAAAGCCGGGGGGAGGAACAGAGAAACAGAGGGAGAAGCAGACTCCTGGCTGAGCAGGCTCAATCCCAGGACCCTGGGATCATGACTTGAGCTGAAGGCAGACGCTTAAGAGACTGAGCCACCTAGGTGCCCTCATGTCACTTCTTTTTTTTTTTTTTTAAGATTTTATTTATTTATTTTAGAGAGAATGAGAGAGAGCAAGCACATGAGAGGGGGGAGGGTCAGAGGGAGAAGCAGGCTCCCTGCTGAGCAGGGATCCCGATGCGGGACTCGATCCCGGGACTCCAGGATCATGACCTGAGCCGAAGGCAGTCACCTAACCAACTGAGCCACCCAGGTGCCCCTCTCATGTCACTTCTTAAAGGTTCTGTGTAAAGAGTTCAAAGGCGCTGGCTGAATATTTTGTCAAGGTGTGGTCTCATCTGTGCTCTCCTTACCTGCAGGTCTCCTAAGAAAAGCCCCCACCCCTTGCAGAGCCCCTGCCCCATTCACCAGAGCACAAAACATGTTTTGTTGTTCTCTCTGTGTTTCACAATCAAGTAGTGAATAAAAATACCTGGTTCCCCTGTAGTTTTGAAAAACACAAATGTTGGAGAGAAGAATAACTAGAGCTTTTCACACAGAGAGCATTTTCTTTGTGTTATGAGGATGGTAACTGTCTCTTTAAGAAAGAATCACTCATGAACTACCATTGATGTTGATGATTTGAAGTTGAAGGTGGTTTAGGATGAAATCAGCTCTTGCTCCTGGGGGCACAGCTTACCTGTAGGGTGATGTTTGTTTGAGGCCGGACCTTGGCTGAAGGAATTTGAAGATAAGACTCTTTGTTGACAAAATTCACGCTGACCAACTTTTCACACTTCTCTCCCTGGTAGCCCGGCAAACACTGGCAGATGGGCTCATTTATCCTGATAATGCACTGGGCTCCATTCTGACAATCAAAGTTATCACAGGGGCTGGTTCGAGGGAGGACCATGGGTGGAGAAAATTCACAGAACAGGCCACTAAAGAAAACAGAGCAATAGCACATTGTTTTTACTTAATTGCCGAGATGAGCTGAAGCCTTTCTGTGAGACTGAACTCTAAATACAAACCTCTGTTTCTACTTTTACCTGTAACCTTCGGGGCAGATGCACGTATAGCCATTCACTGCATCCGTGCAGTGGGCTCCGTTTCTACACTTGTGATCTTGGCAGTCATCAAAGTCAATGTCGCAGTGCTCACCCACATATCCTGGTGTGCAGTCGCACCTGTTTGAGCAAGCATGTAAATAGTTTCACACCCAACTGAGCCAAAGTAAGTAAAAGGGGTGCATTTCATCTAGAAAAATAGGCACTGTCTTTACAAACTTATTGAGTACACCTAAAACCACTGTAGCATTGTGTGTCAACTATACTTCGATACAAATAAGTGAAAATGAAAGCAAAAAATGCAAAACTCACGTGAACAGACTGATAGAGCCCTGAAATTAATGGATGCCTAGAAAAGTTATTCCATGATTTCTCACTGTGATCTTTCGGAGGGATGGTTAGGACTCTGATGATAGTGAACATCCACAATCCCAATGAGCACAGAATTGCACCTGTATCCCTCCTTCCCACCCATCCTTCCTTCTTTCCTTCTCCCTATCATGTTTGCTTTTCTGCTTCCCTCCTCCCTTCCTCTTCCTTCCCCCCTCCTCCACCTTCCTTCCCTTCCTCTCCCTCCTTCCCTCCTCTATCCTCTCTCCCCTCCCTCCCTCTGTCCCCACTCTTTTTGCCTACAGTGTTCTCTGTTTTCATTTGCTCTGATTCCTTTGAACAGTGGAAACCAAAAAAAAAAAAAAAAAAAAATGCTATGTTGTAAAATTTACTAAGAATATTAAACATATTTTAAAAATAATTAATGTTTTTGTTTTCTCATAGAGAAGGGATGTATTGGAATAAAATAGAATTTTATGAAAAAAATTTATGTCAACATTGGACACCCTAATTCATAATGAATCCAGATAATCATTATGTCAGAGCTGGGCTGACCTAATGGAGTAGGACAGGGAAAAAAATTAAAAAATTCCTGGGGTCAATTCCACTGACAGCTCTGAGCTTGTTTGTTTACTCTAGGGGCAGAAGGGAAGAAGGGGTCCCAGCCGCATTGATGGTGAAGAACCAGAGATAATATACACCTGGCGTTCTTGGAGCGCGTCCTCCGTGCCATGCCCTGTTCTAACCACTTGGCATACATGGATTCACTGAATCCTTCTCCAGGGTCATGGATTCATTGAATCCTTCTTCAGGGTCCACTATTTCACTTGACATATGAGGGAAATGAAGGACAAACTGGTTAAGGACCTTACCCAAGGGCATTCAACTTGTAAGTGTCACAGCCAGGTAGGAAACCCAAGCAATCTGGCAAGAGAGCCTGGATTTCTAACCACTGAAGGGTGAAGCACTTTATAGTTGCTGGAGGAAAAAGCAGTGTGTCAGGTGCAGTGGTTTTCAAAGGATGCTCTGAGGAGCGATAAGGGACCAGAGAAGGGAAGGAGGCTTTTGGCAGCTTCCTGCTTCCCTCCTTTCTCCTGCAACACTCTCCTGTTGGATTTATTAGTTTTACATGTTGGGCTTCCATGAGCATTTCTGTTTGGGGTTTAAGAGAGGGCTCACTGACTCTAGAAAAACAAACAAACCAGGAACCTACAGTTTATTTAAAGCCTTATAGAATCTGGACTTTGCAGTTACACAGAACTGGGTTTATATCCTGGCTTCATCTCTACATTTATGCAATCCTGACTAACTTTACTTAAACCTAGGTGTTCATATCTTCCTCACGGTACAAAATAATTTTCATCTCATGGGTTTGTTAAAAGATTAAATAAAACACTATCTATAAAAGACTCAGTATAGTGGTTTGATATATAATGCATGATCAATAAATGGTAAGGATTTAAACAATAATTCTATTAAGTCTTTATAATTCTATAAAAGTCTTTGTGGTTTAGTCTTGACTCATTTTCCAGTTTTCTATTTCAAAGCCATTAGGATTTAAATGAACGAGGATAATTAAAAATGCTGAAGTGAACGTGGACATTACTGAACACCAAGGGTTTTCTCTGAAAAATGCAAAATCAGGATTTAAGAGTTACCAGAGGGCTGATGAATTAAAATAAATGGGGGTATATAGCCTCTAAGGAGAATAGACTTTCAGCTCTGCATGTATGAATTAGGAAATAAAATGAGCTCACTGCAGAAGCATGCTTGCTCGAGAGCCAGTGGTTTTAATACTAAATCATAACACAGCAAAGTAAACAACACATCTGAAGTTAAATGGATCTTAAGTGGCCATATACGTCCTCAAATAGATGGACAAAGTCTGGGGAGAGAGCTTCCATCAATGTTAATGTGAGCAGAACCACTGAAATGCCAGGCATTAAAAGAAAGAAGAAATGCTTTGAAACACTCTGAATTATTTATCTGAGAAAAGAAATCAAAGTAAAAGATAAGAGAACCACACACTTACCACCAGTGGCTAAGAGCTATTTTATATTCTCTTCTCAACAAATACTATTTTTCAAGCCCATTAGAACTTGGAGTCACGTTATGACCACCATTTTTTTTTTGTCTTTCTCTTACTCCTCAGATCAAATTTCAAAACAGAAGAAAATATTTAATTAAGAATTCCTTAAGGTTTGTATTATCAATAAAACCTCTCCCACTCCCTCAACTCTATTATCTGCCAAGGAGTGAGGAAGAAAGCAAAAAGTATAAGTTATTCGGTGGAAAAGCCCAACAGCTGACTAAGAAAGATGCATGCTTGAAAATACTGCTTATGGCAAATCACGATCTAAAAATATCTCAAAGTAATTTAGGAGATTTATGAGGTATATAATAAAGCAAGAAAAGTAAAACCAGCTCTGTTAGCTTAGTAATAAGAAAATGAATTTGAAGAAACAGTACAGTTTGTCCAAACAACATTTGTCAGTAGAGGTTTCTTTAGCAGCTTCATATAGTTTTGGGTTTTAAGCCCATTTTCTTTTTTGCAACTCCCTCTCTCAAAATGTGCAGTTGCTTATAATATGAGAGTAACAGCATACACCGTGACTTTACCTGCGTTCTGCTAAACTAATACAGCTATAAAACAAGCTCATAAGTTATTGCTGAAAATAATGGGTGTCCAAATCAGCTTGCCCAAAGGCCAGTAAGATGCACTTCTGTGTGTGTAATTTAATCGATGGTAAAGAGAAGATACTGAATTAAGGAGTAGTCTTTTTGAAGACAAACTCCCTTACTTTTTAATAGTTTCCTTTAAGTCCTACAGATTCTTTATCTTATAATTATGATGCACAAAGCCCTGTGGCATGTGCATGGCAGATAAGCAGTTCTGGAAAACCACTTGCTTTCCTGATGAATTTTTCTGAGAAATGATAATATTTGTTATGTATGTAAGTGGTGGCTTTTCCTTTTTTTTCTTTTTCCTTCTTTCTTTCTTTCTTTCTTTCTTTCTTTCTTTCTTTCTTTCTTTCTTTCTTTCTTTTTTTGGTAAGTGGTGGATTTTCATTTTGCTAAATTCAATTGTGGGCAGATCAAAGATGTTAGGAGTTAAAATAATTTACGTACAGTACTTGGATGAACAAAATGCAATGCAGAATCTTGTATAAATAAATATTTCAATAAGACCTCCGGTTTTTGCATAGGGTTGTAAACTAAAATATAATGGAAAGTAGAATCAAAGATATTCTTTTCTTTTTCAATAAGGTATCAAATGGAATCAGTGGGTACTGAACTATATTTGTTTATTCTTTTTTTTTTTTAAGATTTTATTTATTTGAGAGAGAGGGAAAGAGGGAGGGAGGGAGGGAGAGGGAGAGAAGACTCCATGCTGAGTCCAGAGCCTGACGCCAGGCTCCATCCCACCACTGTGAGATCATGACCTGAGCTGAAACCAAGAGTTGGAGCTTAACCGACTGAGCCACCCAGGCACCCCTGTATTTGTATATTCTAGAACTATGTTTGCATATTCTAAAACCATATTTTAAACCAAAGTGAATAAAAAATATTCTGTAAATAAAATGAGAATAAGCATTTTATTCAGATTGATCTCTGAAAAGCAGGTCTGGAGATACTGACCCTACCTCCCATTCAACTTAGAGTATCTGATAATCTGTGGACAACTATCAAAATGTTAGAGTTCCAGCTCAATTCCCATCTTATAAAACTGTTCCCCTCCCAAGCAATCTTTAATTCTTTGAATCCTATGGCAATTATGCCTGGGTCATTTCACTGAGAAGATAAAGTATGTGAATGTGAATAGCTATAAAACACTACATAAGATGGTAGTATTACCACGTACCCTGACCCATGGTAGGTGCTCAATCAATACTGGGTAAAAGAAAAAAATCATTGTATTTGCTAGTTGTCTGATATGAGTACATCTCCACTCTTGAACCCAGTTGTGCCATTCCTGAGAATCCAACTTACCTTCTATAACAAACCAACAGTAATGTTAATAAACTACAAAACATCTTAGAGGTAACCTGTATTCGAAAAATCACCCAACTGGGAAATAGAAAACCCAGCTCCCACGTCTGCCAATGAATAACCTTGAGATCTTTGGACAGCCACCAACCTGTCTGGGTCCTGTTTTCCTCATGTTTAAAATGAAGAATTTGGACCAGATGATCTCTAAACTACTGTCCACTCTAAGAAGAGAAGTTGCTGTTGATAGACCCTTAAACTATTTCAGGATTGTGGCAAAGGAATAATTTAATTTGATACCAAACATATTTCAGGAAGATTACTGAGGAGGAAAAATAAGTAATTTTAAAGTTCTGGGTTTACTTGAGGGAGCCCTCTATCTAGAATGACTGCTCTATCATCCCACACAAGACAAATGTAAGGTGAAAGGGGTACTATTAATAACAATGCTGAGACAATAAGCATAAACTGGGACTGTCCCTGGGCATCCTGGGACATACGGTCGGTCCCTCCACCTTCCTCACCTTGGATAGTTAAGAATTGGTGCTGGCCAAAAAAATCTCAGTTTCTTTCAATTAAACTTCCTACTTACCACAAACTCACATTCAGATAATTAAGCACCTAGTATATATTACAAATTTATTTGGCTTTCAAATACATTTAAGTAAACACAGTCAAAGGCTACTTTATTTTATGCATGACTTCCCAGGAAGAGCCAGGAAACAAATGGAAATGCTGTCTTTTATTTTCTTTCCTGTACTAAAAAAAAGAAGAAAAAAGTCCATGCTGTATAGGAACGTTTATAAAAATGCCACTGACACTGGAGGATGTTCCTTTCATCCTGAGCAAAGGTGTGAAGTGAGGTCCTAAAAGGAAGGTGAGGAAGACAGTTCCCTGAAGAAAAACAGTGTCCCGCATTGTGAGCCCCAGACAGTTCTGACTTACTTAAATCCCTTTGGCATCAGGATGCACTTGGAGTCGTGTTGGCAGGGGTTCAGTTCCTGGGCACAGAAGTCCAGCTTCTCCTCACACAACTCGCCTGTTAACATGGCAAACAGTGTTAGTTCACAGGGAAAGGTTAACAGGCTTCCTGCCAGCAGGCTGTCATGGGCCTCAGAAGTTAGCACAGCTTGTGACTGGGAAAAAAATAAATCACAAGATAGGGAAGCAGAAGATCCAAAATGCTGGTTATGCTGCTAACCAGGCTTATGATTTGGGACAACACAACTATTGTGGTTTGTAACTAATATGAGCCCCTTTAGAATATACTATTGGAATGAGGAAAAGGAAATCTGAATGCTTTTCATTTCTGTTGTTTTATTTATGGTGATTTGGGCTTTTTTATTGAGGTATAGCATATACCCCAAGGATAAATGAATAGCTAGTGAATACTCACAAACTCACCCCACTCATGTAACCAGCATCCACATCCAGACACACACCATTCACCAGCATCCCAGAAGTCTGACCCCAAGGGTAAGTAACTATCTTAACTGGACCAAATATTAATTGTGTCTGTTTCTGAATGTGACATAAATAAAATCATTTGGTAGGTACAACTTTATGTCTTGCCTATCCTGTTGTTTTACATTTGGAAAAACAATCCTCATATCTTCATAGTCTCCAAGGTCTTATAAAGTCTGGAAGAAAAAGGCTTTGTTTCCCCCTTATGACTTAATTGCAACAATTCAACAGAATACTCCTTAGTTATATCCACTAAGATAGAAAACAGCAAAAGGAGAATCAATGGGAATAAAGGACATACACTCCCCCCCCCGAGTATCACCTAGCTCATAAAGAATAAATTTTATCAATACATGAGAGCTGAAAGCATAACCATGCAGATTCTAGACACTCTATGTTGAATTATGTATCTGGAAACCTCTTAAGAAATGTCTTCAGTTACAAATAATATGGTCTATTTTGTGTTAGGCCAAATATGATTTTCAGTGAGACTTTCCCAATCATTGTGTGAGATAATAACTAGAAAGATATAAAATTTAAAAGTTCCCCCTTTGCTACCTTAGCTCTAAATCACTTTTTAATTGTGTTATATATAGTAAATGAATGAATAAAGTGACAGAGCTACACCGAGCTGTTCATTTACAAGGAACTATTAGAATTTTCATTCATTCAAGGTGTGTGGATTTAAACAGTATTGGTTAAAAATCAGGAGTTTGCAGCTCATTCCTTTGTTGTAAGACTGTCCTTTTAAGGAAAAACTTTGCTACCTGGTAGAAAGAGTTGCTTAGCAACTCAATGTGGCATATTATTTATACTTCAAGATCTGTATCCATGATGCAAATATGTAAATGTACTCAGTTATTCTATCAGTTTGGTGTATGGTAAGTTAGGTTTTTTTTCTGTCTCTTAAAGCGAACTAATTACACCAAAAGTCTCATATATTTCTTCAAGAAGGCTATCTGCATCTCTAGATTTGTGATACAACAAGGTTTTAACAACATCTACATGATAAGCTATTTTTAAACAGCATTTATTTAAAGCTTTTCACTTTCAATTAGTTTTACTTTAAGTAATACCCCTTGATGGAATTCATTCATTATAATTTATCAGCCTACCATGATGAATTCATATTTAGTTTTCTAATCAAATCTAATCGGTTGGATACAGGCTTTTTACAGTAGTCTATAGACAAAGGAGCTTGTAATAACTGATGATAGAGAGGGACCATTTAAGATATATAATAGATAAAAATACTCTATGTATTTTTCACTCTATACCCAAATAAGAAATTGTTTTAAAAATTATAAGAACAAGGGAAATGTTTGACATCTTATTCACTTGGATCCAATCCAATCTAACCCAACTCGATCCAATCCAATCAAGCCGACCTAAGCCACAGTTTGTTAAGGATTTACTGTATGATGCTGGGCTAGATTCTGAGGCTACAGGGGCAGGTGTAATGGACTCTGCCCTCAATCAGCTCCCAGTCAACCAGTAGAGAGTCTGAGCTGGAGATACAACATAGAAAGAGAAATTCATCTCTAAGGGAAGAAATTAGAGTTGACCCTTTATTTTCCATTAGGTGTTTCTCCATAAACTTGATGTGGAAAGGAGTGAGAAAGGAGATGGTTCTATGAAACTGTTGGCTAAACAGATTGACCGTTCTTTAGTCAACAGCTTTAAGACTAAACATGCTAATTTGTATATGTGCTGCCGAAGCGAGCACTAAACATGCTAATTTGAATGCAAAAAACAAACAAAAAACCACAAAAAAAAACCTACTGATAGCTTTTCCTTATAAAATAAGTATATAATATTTCTTATAAAATAGGTATTCCTTATTTTATAAGGAATTTATCTTATAAGAATAGCAAAGCAGCAATATTAACCATTGCTGAAGTCATGTATGATAGTTCTTTGTTACCAATACATAGCTACACATTTGACTCTGGTTAAGATTGGTTGATTACTTCAAAAAGGATTTGTCTCCCTTTAAGTGTCACCAAATATTACAATACTAACAAATGTTACAAAAGCATCCTCTACATCCCATTACTGCCTAATTCACTTCTAAAGCCAAATCTTGCAAGCTATACTCATCTCCTATGTCTATTTATGATTTTACGAATTTATCTCAAGTTCATGTCTGGACTAATGGTGTTTCCTTTTGTTTTAGTAACTTTAATAAGTTCTGTTGTCAGTTTTTCTACCCATTATATATCCCTTCTTTATGAAACCTTCCTGGATCTTTTCAACCATTTGTTATCAATCTACAATTTTTATATCAATCTACAATTTTCATGTTTGCCTGTGCCTATCTTATGGCACACATATTGTATGTATGTATTTATTGACTTAATAAATATTTGTATAGTGTTTACTACTATATATCAGATAGTTTTAAACATTATACAAATATAGAGTCACTTAATGTTCATGAGAACCATTTAATAAGGAAAGGTAATAGGGCTGCATTCTTTTGGATGTCATGGATATTATGGCATTTACCTCATTCCCTTTCTTTGACTCGAAGATCACTGAGAGCAGTATTCTAGGGCATATTTGTCTTCATAACTCTATAAAGTATGATCTTATGACATACTAAAATGATAGTTATTGAAAAAAGATACTAGAGCTCTATCCTATTGACCTATATTCAACTTGGATCTCATTTTAGCATTTAGATATTTTTGTTTAATTTTTGCCTAATAATTAACCACCCATCTTAATAATAAATAGCTTATAACTTTCCTTTAAATATTACTTTAAATTTTCTCTGGCCAATTATTAAAACAAATGTTTTCACTGGACTATTTCTTTAATGTTTTTGAATTATATTGGATTCTGCTGTATTTGGGGGAAGGCAGATTTTAAAGTTCAAATACTGTCCCACAGTGGTGAAACTCAAGAGCTCAATATAAGATGGGAATTGTAGAAAGCTCCACAGATGAATGGAGAACTTTATTTATATCTACTTCTCAACCAGTCAAGAAAGTTTGGATATTTGAAAGCTGCATTGGTTTTCCATGAAGAATAGAAATAAAATTCACTAACAGTCATTCACTCACATGCTTTTAGTTACTATTGAAAAATTTCTCCTAAAATTCACAATATTGAGTGAACATTATGCAATCTTTCTTCCTTCTTTTCTTTCTCCCTCCCTCCCCCTCCCTCCTTCCTTCCTTTTCTTTTTCTTTCTTTCTTTCTTTCTTCCTTTCTTTCTTTCTTCTTTTTTCTACTTTTTTCTTTCTTTCTCTCTCTCTTCTTCCTTCCTTCCTTTCTTCTTCTTTCTTTCTATTTTTTTCTCTCTCTTTCTTTCTTTCTTTCTTTCTTGTGTATATATGTAGTTACAGCTAGTACCAAATTAGTGAAAAAAAAGTCAGGGGAGAATAATAGGAAATAAGGCAACTGTATTTGAGCTTTTGATGGTCCAAGGCCTGCCTGAGACAGTATCATCTGGGTCTAGCTTCCTTCCTGAGATAATAAAGTATGAGCTGATAGAAAGGAAAGGTGGAAATGTTCTTTATTCTACTATACATGGTTAATGTTATAATCGATTATCCTGTAAGCAGGTCTTTATATTTTTAACATGGCAGCAGGAAAGATAAGTCAGCTCACTGGAGTGGTTAAGGGCAATGTAGTTGAATACTGGTTAAATTTCAGTGCCCATGAACCCCTCAAGAGACAGGGGTCCAGACAAACACTGATTCCATAATTTAGCTCCAACCCACTCTGTTAAATCCCAGGAAATCCTAGTTTTTATTTGCTTTCAGCTCTATACCCTTAGAAGTTCCCAGTGTGATTTCGCCTTATGCTTGGAGTTTTAAGCTTTTTTCTTTTCCTTTTATTTTATTTTATTTTTTTGCGAGAATTAAAAAAAAGATGTGTGTGTGTGTGTGTGTGTGTGTGTGTGTGAGAGAGCGAGGGGGAGAGAGAGATCTATGTTTTGGAGAAGAAATGGAAAATGGTCCAACAGGAAGCCTACGATTATTTCTTCAGAATAACAAAGGCTAGTGAATGATCTGCTATAACTTGTGAAGAAAAGGTATCACATCTTCACCACAGGTGTCTTTTTTGTAAGAAAGTGACATCTAGTTCTTGGATCACTTCCTCCTGATTGTATCTATCAGGTAAGCATAGCAGAGAGTGGGCTTGGAAATAGACAAGTTCCACAGTGATATTAGTATGAACTGTGAGGGAGCAAGGCAAGAGTGATGCCTTCTTCTCTAAAAGGGAATGGCTCCTCAAAGCCCACTCTTGAGGAGGAAATATGATCGCTACTTACTGAACACCTGTAAATGTGATTTTTCTGAAGAATTTTATATAATGGTCATGTGCCCACATATCCTGGCTTGCTCAGGACTGTCCTGGTTTTTATCTGTTGTCTCAAGGTAATTATCAGTAGTGTCCCATGCACTCACACAGATGCCCTGATTTGAATGATAAATGTTACGGTCACCTTGTAGGTGGAACAGTAGAAGCAAGATCATCAGAATTAATGCTCTGTTTGGAGTGAGGGGTGAGCCAGCATAGAGATCCTGGGGAGTAAGTATTCTTAATGGGTGAAATGATATT